TTAATGTTTGGTTTCTATCTTCTAATTATTATGATCTTTATTATTATTATTATTATTAATTTTTTTGTATTTTGAATTTTTTACCACTGATAATTTTGAACTTTTTTATTTTTTTGACTTTGTTTTTTCTCTTTGACAATACTTTTTTAGTTTCTTCTTTTTTATACTTTTATATTTTTGTACTTCGGATGTTTTTTTCTGTTTTTTTCAAACATTCTTTCTTTCATAGATCTTGTCTTCTTTTTATTACTTTTTATTTATTTCTTTTTTGACTTTCTTGTTTTAGTTTTTTTCTGCGATATTTTTTTTTAATTTTTGTTTTTTAAGGGAATTTTCTATTCGAAATTGTTTATTGTTAGCTTTTGTTCTAATTTTCTCATGTTCTACATTGACAGTGCTTCTTCTTTTTCTTTATAATTGTCTTTAAATTTTTTGCTATTATTTTTTATATTTTTAGTTGATTATTTTGCTGCTTTCATAATTAAAATATGTCGTAGACTCTTTTCACACCTGATTTATTCCTAACATTTGAAAAAAAATCAGGTGAAACGTTGCAAGATACGCAAACAAGGCCTCTGGATGATCAACCGCCTCCTCCACGACAACTACCTCCTCACCTCCGTCAAATACTCAATCATCAACGGTTACCTAAACCTCAATTCCACCTCGTCGCCAACCCAACATTGCCTCGACAACATCCAACTCGTCACTCCATTCATGAAAACGGAAATTCTCCTCTCACAACTCTCCGTAACCGAATGGTGTATCGAAAACCTTCGCAACTACATCCTACGTGACGTTCCGGTTAAAACCGGCAAAACAAAAGCCGGTAATAAAGTAACCCTCAATCTCGGCACCTACACCCTTCTTCGAGACGTACCACGTGCCCGAATGATCCTCGCAATTATGGGAATTCTCGCATCGAATCGATACATAGCCCTGGAACTTAGCCCACTTATCAATAGCGGAGTCATCAGTTCGGTTTTAGCCCTTTTGAAACAAACCGGATGCGATCAGAGTATTGTGAGAAAAGTATCGGAATTTTACGTCTTATATGCCGATATTATCGATAATAATAAACCGAAAACGAGTTGTTTAACTGGACCTGAACTTGCAAGTTTGATGAAACTGGGTACAAAGGTTGTGAGAGGGGCCGATTGGAAGTGGGGGGACCAGGTGAGTGGTTAAAATTACAGAAACCTGTAATTTATGGGTGATTTAGGACGGCTCACCGCCTGGTGAAGGTCGAGTCATTGGGGAATTAGGTGATGATGGGTGGGTGAGAGTTGAATGGTCCAATGGTACCACCAATAGTTATAGAATGGGGATTGAAGGGAAGTATGACCTAGCGTTAGCCTCGCCCCCATCACCTGTAACCACAGATACAGACACGGAGGAACCCAGCGACCACAGTAAGTCTGAATTTAATTTAAATCAAGTTGACTTATTTTTGTAGCATCACAAATTGTCAAAGACAACCAATTGATTAAGCTTTTGCGCGATGCAAGTATCAATTTTTTGCGAAATGTTTCCCTAAGTGCTGGATTAGCCAATGAGAATCTACACCAAACCACTTTACACGGTTTAAGTAGCCTTTTTTGTGCCACTTTAAGTGCATCAAACACTTCAGAATGGTGTAACTTGACTCTAGTCCGATCTATAGCACAAACACAGCAAATTTGTCGTGCTTTTAGTACCAAACCGTGGATAAATATGTTGTTAGGGTTTTTATCAGCGTCAAGTTTGGTTGGTAACGAGTTGAATCTCCCCAAACAGATTTTTTCAGTCCGATTCTTGCACACTGTACTACAATCATGGGATATGGATAATTCAGAAATACCAACATTACTCGAAAAATTACTCAACATTTTGGGTAAAATAATCCTGACCTGTTCGTACGACACTGGAAATAAGCCACAAACGACGACAAAATCCCTAGTTTTACTCACACAATCACATAGTAGTACTTTGGCTCAGGAAATTATCCACTTGTTGCGTTCATTGCACGGTCTAGTTGGCTGGAATCAGGTGTTAAATGCGATTTTAGCTCAGAAATTAAACTTGGCTGCGTATTTCCTGAGCGATACTTGTCTCATGTCGATGATTAACGATGGTAACACTTCGGATCAGCAACACTATATGGTGATTGCGTGTCTTAATGTGATTGGTGCATGGGATGTTAGGCCTCGTATAGGGGGCGTGGCCGAAGTTGAGTGTCAACAAGGCACAATAGTGCGTGTCACTCCTAAAGGTAAACTTTGTGTGCAAATCCATGAAACAGGAGAGAGTCGAAAAGTACCAATAAATAATTTGAAATTGTCGCCTCAAGTTGAATTTAATTTTGATCGAATGCCATTAAGTGAGAATTTAGTTAAAACATGGGCTAGTCTTTTGTTAAATCGTCAAAGTAGTGCGTTAAATAGTCATGAGAAGAAGCCCCAACATGGTCAAGTCAATGCTGCGTATCTCAGGACTCAGCAGAATACTCTGAGTGCGCTCAACGCCACCCGAATGTTGAACAACAATCAATACAAATTACGTAAAGTGCTCAAACACCAAATCAACGGTATGGATCAGTCTCAGGAGCAACAATCTATTGAAGAGGAGTTGAATCAACAACCGGTGCTCCTGATCCAGAAACTTCTAACAAAAGCGACTCAACCGAGTCCACTTAAACCTGGTTTTAGTCGACAAGAAATGCAACTTGCTGCACTCAATCTGAGTCAGTATTTGGCCGCTGAGGGAAATTTTGGGGTGTCTGGAGATAAAACAACACCCAAATATTGTACTCGGTGTAATAGTGAAGTCCCAACACCGAATTCCGAATGCTCAGTGAAGAGTGTAGTGAGTGAAAAAAAACGGAAACAAGTTGTTGACCTTCCCGTACATCCAATGGTGGGGCAAATTGTCGAAATGGGATTCCCCAAACGGGCCGTTGAGATTGCCATTAAATCATTAGGTGAGTCGGTAAAGTAGTTTTCTACACTTGGTGAAATTTGAAAAGTTGTGTCTTAGTGAAAAAAAAAAAAAATTGAAGCTTTAGTGTTGAGATCTCTTAACAAAATATTTTTCCTCAGAAATAGCGTATTTTTTTGTTTTTGGTTATTTCATATGCTTATGTTCTTTTTACGTCAATTTGTCACAGATATCTGACTTTACGTGAAAAAGGAGCCTCTTGTTTTTGATCATCATCATCAATCATCATCATCAACAACAACAAACCGTTTTCTCAAACCGATTGATCACAGTTTTACAAAACAATTAAAGGAATATAAGTATTGTTTCTGAACAATGCGTAATTTAATCAAAATCAGAAAAAAACACTTTTTTTGCAATTTTGCATTAGTTATTTGTAAAATTTCAAAAACTGAATTTATTAATATGAATTTTCAAAATAAACGAAAGAATACGTAGAATGAGGCCCAAAATATACGAGTGAAATACAAAAAATAAGAGGTAATAAAAAGAAAGTAATGAAAGTTGGAAAATAAATGAAAAAATCGTTCAAAATTGGATTGAAAATAGCTCAAACTGCTTTATTTTGGCAGGAAACTGGTATTTGAGCATTTATTTTGTTGAAATACCTGGATTCAGGTTGATTTCCGGCTGAAAATTAAGCCAAATCGATTGGAAATCGCACAAATTGCTTCATTTTGGCCTAGAAAGAGATTTTAAGCAATTATTTTTATAAAATACTTTAATTTAGAATGATTTCTGTATTTAAATCGATCAAAATTGGATTGGAAATAGCTCAAATTGCTCTATTTTAGCAGAAAACTTTTATTTAAGCATTTATTTTATTGAAATACTTTGATTAAGGTTGATTTCCTGCTTGAAATTGAGCTAAATTGATTGGAAATATCACAAATTGCTTTATTTCAGCCTAAAATTGGGATTGAAGCAATTATTTTTAAAAATACATTATTTTTGAATTAATTCTGTATTAAAATCGAGCAAATATGGTTTGAAAATAGATAAAATTGCTATATTTTGGTAGAAAACTCTTACTTAAGCCATTGTTTTGTTGAAATTCTTTGATTTAGGTTGATTTCCAGCTTAAAATTGAGCCAAATCGATTAGAAATTGCTTCATTTTGGCCTAAAAAGAGATTTTAAGCATAAATTTTTATAAAATACTTTGATTTAGAATGATTTATAATATAAAATAAAATTATAGTATAAAAAAATAAAAACAGAAACCAGAAAAATATAGTAAAGTAAAAGAAAAGAAACAGTCAAAAAATTAATAAAAAAACAACGGTTGAAACATCTCAGAAGGTAAAATGAAAATTCAAAACAAATAAAGAATATAAGAAAAACAATAAATGACAAAAAATCGTAAAACAAAAGTATTGAAAATCATTGAAATAAAAAATCAAAACTAATGTTCATTTATTTTTTCAAAAATATTTTTTATTATACCAGGTTTTTTTTAGTCAAACAGTCCGTTGGTGAGTTTGCAAAATTTCAAAGTAATTTAGAATTAAAGGAACAAATGTATTGTGTAACCTTCATCAATATGAGGAAAAAAAATTTTTTTTCAACGTTTGTTACAATTTTGCATTAGTTTTTTTGCAAAATTTGATTTTTTTTAGAATTAATCCATATTGTTTCTTAATTTTTTTACATACTTTCAAAAAAGATTCAAGACTAATATTTTGATTTATTTTTTTTTTAATTTAACAAATAACTAATGCAAAAT